AAGTCTGAGGATCTTTCTGCATGCCTACTTGTTATCTTGATGGCTTTAAATGTTGAGAGGGGGGAGACGGGCTGGTTCCTTTGGAAGGTTCCTTTGGGCAGCCCCTCTTCCCCCACACCCCAGCCAACAAGCTGGTGTAGCAGCGGAGCCCGATTACAAAGAAGCAATGAAATTGCTGATCAAACTGTCTCCGCCAGAGAGGAGGGGCTCTTCTCTTAGGCAGACCCGAAGAAAGCAAGCGAGAGAGGAAGAACAGGAGGCGTTGAGTGCCAGGTAACAAGGAACCAGGCCCAGGTAGATGGTAGATGGAGGGACGGAGGGGGCCAGGAGAGGAGACTTTGGCCCCCAGCTGACCGAGAGCAATTCTGACTCGCTCCACTTGGCCACCTTTCAAACATGCACCCAGCCACCCACCCAAGTCCTCCCCGTTGAGCAATCTCTAGTTTGGGAGACCCTCTGAATAACTCACTCCAGGACTTTGCCAAATTCCTCTTCCAAAGTCGTCTGGGTATTTAGGAAAGGCAGGAGCCACCTCCCCCGCCCCCACCGCCAATGAGCTCTGTGATGTGTCTTTGTCTCCCTTTGCCGATGTGGTGGGGGGTCCCTGATGGAGGGGTGGGGCAGGTTGTTCTCAATAGGAAGGGGGGTGTAGGTAGGGCCTTTGTTCTTCTGTTATGTCTGTTATGTCTTTGGGGCATTTCGGCATTTGGGACATTTTGGTGGGAAATTCTCCTGCACCAGCCCCAGGTGAACCTTGCACCGGAGAACTTCCTGCTGGGACAGACGTCTGTCCAGGGCGCACTGTGGTTCCCTTTGAGTGCTCGCTGCCTTCGGCACATGCCGTTCCCAAGCCATTCACACACCGTCATTGATGCTCTTAGCCTCAGCAGAGTCTCCCTCGACCTTAAGGATAATAGAGCCCCCCCCCGGCGTTTACCATGTGCCCTCCCACCCTCTTCAGCGATGGCAAACGGGAGTCTTCCTCTGATTCCCCCCCCCCCTGAAACAGAGGGACCTGCCTTATTCGGAAGAAGTGAGCCCTGTCTCCTGAAAGCTCCTCCCCGGTGCTTTAAGGTGCTCCTGGACGCTTGCTCTTTTCTACAGCTACAGACCGACTAACACGGCTACTCATCTTGATCTATCTGCCTTATTCTGAATCAGACTCGGGTCCTCCATCAAGGTCAGTATTGCCTGCTCTGGCTGGCAGCAGCTCTCTGGGGTCTCAGGCAGAGAAAGGTCTTTCCCATCACCTGCTGCCAGGTCTTTTAACTGGAGATGCCCGGGATTGAACCGGGAGCCTCCTGCATGCCAAGCAAATGTGCAGCTACTGAGCCACAGCCCCTACCCAACCATGGGGCCAGTGTTGTCTACTCGGACTGGCAGGGGCTCTCCAGTGTCCCAGATGGGGGTCTTTCACATCACCTGTGACGTCGTCCTTTCAGCTGGAGGTGCCGGGGAGGGATGGCACCTGGCACCTTCTGCATGCCAAGCACAGCCCCCCCCCCACCTCTCCCCTCCCCATCTCTAGCCCGAACCTCACACCACAAGCCCGCCTGGAGGGGCAGACCTAAACGAAAACGCATTGCACACAACCACTTTTTTTTTGGGGGGAGGCAAATTATCTCCCATAACTCCCTTTCCACTTTCAAAAGCAACTTCTGGATCAGAGACTTTCTCCTTCCCGGTTCCTTGGCATGGCTGGAGTCCGTTTGCCCCCCCCCCCCCTTAAAAATCCAATGTTGGGAAGAAGGCAGGTTAGACGACACCCCTCTTCCCCTCCCCTCCTAGCCCCGATCCCGGCTCCCCCCAAGGCAGCCTCCTCCAGGTCCCTGCCGGCCGGGAGGCGCCCAGAGGCCGGGGCGAGGGGCGCTTACCTGCGGGAAGTTGTCGGGGGGGGGGGAGGCGCGTGCACGCGGCCGGGCGCGCCCCCGAGGGAGCCTCCGCTCGCTGGAGAGACAAAGGGGACAAAAGACGGTTGGTACCCGAAGCCCCCCAGGTCTCTCCGAGGCTGCAGATGGGGAGGGGATGGGCGGCATCTTGCGCGGCCGGGGAGATCAGGTGGGTGGGTCGGGGGGGGGGTGTCACTCGAGCCTGCCTGGGGCTGCTGGCTCCGTCCCCTCCTCCCACCTCTGGCTCCGGGGGGCGGGCTGCTTCCTCACCTCTTCCGCCTGGTGGATTGTGGGAATATCCCAAAGGTAATGATGCTTTAAAAGCGGGGAGGGGGCAGTGATAATTGGAGGCAACGAGCCGACGGGGGAACCTGCTGAGCCGGTCAAAGCGACCCCCCCTCTCCGACACGCAGCCCACCTGGGGGCGGGGGGGGAGAGAGAGGGAGGGGCCCCCACCTGGGTCCCTGATTAGGCTCCATCAGTGTCAAATGGGATGGAACAAGCCAGGGGAGGGGGAGGGGGCTGGCCGGCTGCAGAGAGACCCCCGACCGTGCAGAAAAGATGAGCCGGGCCCGGGGGGTGGGCGGGGAGCTTCGATGAGTCGAAAGGCGGAGAAGAGAGCGGGAGCTTGCTTTTGTGGCTTCTCGAAGCCCTTCTCTGGGGAGGCTGCCAACTTTTCAAAGCGGTCCTGCTCCTCTGCCTTTAAGATCAGCGGCAAGGGTATAGAGCGTGAGCATCAGGAGTTGCAGCCCCTGCTCACCAGTTACCGTGTACAATCGGTGCCCAGCGTCCCCTAATTTTTTTCTGAATACCTGTGTGGTGGAGTAAGTCTCATGTGACATGCGACACGTCCAACCCCATGTATGTCCAAGTTGCTTGGACAGTGAACCCGCGTTGCTTGTTCTTACAACAACAACAACAAAAGACATACAAGAAGGATGTAAATTGTAACACCTGAATGGGACTAATCCTTCCGCGACTGCTAAAAGAGCACAGGAGCACGGCAGGGAGGGGGCAATTGGCAACCCGACGCTTCCAGTCAATTTAAAGTCAAGGTTTTGTCGTCTGGAGATCGGCTGGAATTCAAGGAGATCTCCAGGCCCCACCTGGAGGTTGGCAAAACTTTGACCCAGCCTACCATGGCTGGGTCACGGGGTTGCCAGCCTCCAGCTGAGGCCTGGAGACCTCAACAACAGCTGATCCCCGGATTTACAGAGATCAATTCGCCTGGCTGCTTTGGTGGGTTGGGTTTCTCGCTCCAGGTCTGGAAAGACATGGAGATTTGAGTTTAGGGAGGGGCGGGACCACAGGAGGGTATAATGCCATGCAGTTCACCTTCCAAAGCAGCCATTTCCTCCAGGAGAAGTGGAGTAAATGTTTCAAATAAACATGTATTACTTATTTATTTGAAACATTTATGCCACAAGATTTATGCAGTCTGGCGATCAGCCCTAATCCCGGGAGATCTCCAGCCCCCGCCGGGAGGTTGAACTTGGTATATTTTCTAGTGTACGGTCTCGTCTGACGAAACCTTGAGTGAAACGGTCTGTTGAGCGCTGTGCCGTCAGAAAAACTTGAGACCAATTTACCTCTAATGATTTGCTACTCACTGGATAATAAAAGAAGATATATATTTTTCCCTTACAAGATCTCACGGTTGCCTTTCCTTACTAAGTCTGTCCCGTGGGCTCAGGGCGGCTTACATGGGCACAAAGTGCAATAAAAGTAAAACAGGTTAAAACAAGACTAAAATTCACATCAAACAGGATACATGAAAGACTATAAATACACACTCCCCCATTACATATTAGGGAGGGAGGGTGTGGGGGCTACGATGTTCCAGATGACCAATCGGCCCAACCCGGTGATACTGCTCTGCAGTTGCACGGTGGTGGTGGTGGTGGTGGTGGCGGCTTCTACTCAAAAGCCTGGCGGGTGATCTCTCGTCGTTGACTTCACCCGCCGGGAGGTTGGCAGCCCCAGGCGGTCTCTATGGTATTCTACTCCGCCGGGCCCCCTCCCCAAACCCTAGCCTCCCCATGCTCCATCCCCGCAGCTTCAGGAATTCCCCAAGCCAAGGTTGGCAACCCAGCGGCGTGGCGCCCAAGCGGCGGCTCCAGGCCCAACGCCGCGGGGATGGGCGGGCGCGCCCAGCGGGTACCAGGCGGGCACTAGGACCCGGCGGAGGGAGAGGCGGGCGGGGCGAACGGCGCCGATCCGCCTCCTCCTCCTCCTCCTCCTCCTCCTCCTCCTCCTCCGCTGCCGCCATGATCAGCCTGCCCGGAGAGGCGAGCGGGGCGGCTGCAGCTGGTGGGACCGACCGCGGGCAGCAGGAGAGCGGCGAGGGCCAGCGGGCGCCCCGGAGAGCCGGCGAGGCTGACTCGGAAGTAAGTCCCACGCTGCATCCAAGTCACGGGTATGCCTTGGTCACGCCCAGTGGGCACAATTGCAAGAACGGAGGGAGGTTTGCATCAGCGGTACTGAATGATTTTATTGAATTAAGGTCGATGGTTTATAATTATTGTTACATGTTTTAAATGGTAAATCTGCATTCATTGCAGCTCTATACAGGCTGGGTACCCGCCCTGAGCCGCCAAGGTGGGGAGGGCGGGGTATAAATTCAATGAAATAAAGATAAATAAGGTTGCAGTCAGACGAAGGGCAGGCGTATTTACTCGCGAGCAAGCCACATGGAGCTTTCCGGAGGCCGGCTCCCAAGCAGGTGGGCACAGGTAGCCCCGCGATTCGCGAAGACTGCTTCTTCAGGAGTCACCCCCCCCCCCGCGTTAAGTGTAGCATTGCACCCGGACTCCTATCCAGAGCAATCTTGTGGTTGCTTTCCAGGCGGCCACCACTGGATTCGAATGGGCTGACTTGGAGGGAAGCTGGTGTGGCAGGCTGCGGCCAGCACAGTGGGAGGCAGTGTTCCCTCTAAGCTGGGTTGGTGTGAGCCAGCTCACAGTTTTCTAGCCTCCGGCTCACAGATTTTTGTCTTAGCTCAGGCAGGAGGGCTCCAGAGCAAACTAATTTGTGCAGCAGCACTCACAACTTTAATGCCAGCAGCTCACAAAGTGGGATTTTTGCTCACAGGACTCCCACACCTTAGAGGGAGCATTGGTGGTGGTGGGGGGGCTGTTCCCAGATGTTCTTGTTTGTGCCGTGGGCACACTTACCTGGGAGGAAACCCCTGGGACTGCCGTATCTGCGTATGCATGAGCAGGATCGGGCTGCAATCGAGTCTCGAGGTACTACCCACTTTTAATATGTTATTTTTAAATTGGTTTTATTGGATTATTTATTGTATTGATTCAGATGGTTTGTGTTTATTGTTGTGAGCCGCCCTTCGTCCCTTCGCAGGAGAGGCGGGATATAAATTGAAATAATAGATAAATAACTATACATAAAAGGTAGCCATGAATCCTGGGGGGTAGCCAAGCGGGCACGAGAGCTGGTCACCCAGTTCTGCTTCTTTCTTTCCGATCCAAGGTGGAGGTGAAAGATGACCACTCTCACCCGGCAGGATCTCAACTTTGGCCAAGGTAAGGAGATGAATGTCCTTTCTCCCTGGCAGCTGCATTCCGCTTGGATCCTTTGAATGATTCAGCTTTTGGGAGCTATTATTGCCTTAAATGCTGTATGAAATTGGAATTTGGGTGACATTGGTGGTTTTAAGTTGCTATGTGAACCTTAAGGGAGTTATGGGACAGCTGTGAATGGTGTGTGAGTGTATATGAATATTGTTGTAGATCACCAAAATGATTGCATCTTGAATTTCGTTGTACTATGCACAATGAACATAAAGTATATTATTATTATTACATGTCTTTATTAACAAAGAATTAAAAAGCATCTAAGGGCCCAATCACACTTCATGTAAAAATGCCAAAATTCAGCACACAAGGGCCAAGGGACTTGACCTGATGTGTTTCGGCCTGTACAGGCCTTCTTCAGAGGCCTATCATAGTACAATACAATCATGCAATTATGTAACATAGATACAAGATGGACCAGAAAATACTTGTTCCAAAGTGAAACCGCTAGGCACAGAATAAAAGTATAAATGAGGCCTCCAAAGATGCAATCACATGCCAAATGATGTTTCAATGATAATAATTTCTGGTCCAGAAAGTGCCTTCCAACGATTGTTTAGCCAAAGCATCCTCAGTAAAATTGTCCCTAAAGCAAAGAGCAATTTCACTGAGGCCGAAATGCGTCAGGTCAAATCCATTGTTTGCTAAATTTTGGCATTTTTACATGAGGTGTGATTGGGCCCTGATATGCTTTTTAATTCTTTGTTAATAAATACATATATCTTTTCATACTATATAAATTAAGTTTTTATTGTTGGCCCTCTATTCTGTTTGACCTACAAAATGTAAGAACAGCAATTAAAACGTTTGTTAGGAAGGGAGGGTCCTTTATGTGAATGTCCAACGAAACTAAAAAGGCTGCACCTACGGGTGGAAGACGGCCGCAGAAGGGGACAGATGAATTACTGAATAGGTTGTGTTTGCATTTTAAACTGCTTTGAGGCTTACCGAGGAAAGAGGACGTTTGGAAGATATAAACATTTTTCTTTCGCCCCGTTCCCTAATGCACCTGAATCATGGGAAGATATTATGAATACCCTTCACTTTCAGCTTCCCAGATGAACATTTTTCCATTAAAATAATAAGCTGCTACCAGACAAAGAATTCATAGGTTTAATCTCTTGATCAAACAGATCAATAGCGCCATCATATTTGTTTACGCAGAAGTCGCTCCCTGAATGCATTGGGATTTACTCCTAAGGGAACACACACAAAATTGCAGCTTCAGAGGCGCTGGCTCAGATTTCAGTTTTTGAAACTGATGGTGCTTTCTAAGTGCCCCACGGCAGGCTTCATTGTTTTTCCCCCCTCCACCTGTTTCCTTCCAGCAATTAATTTCAACCCCCCTCCACCTTTCCTTTCTTCAGTGGTGGCTGATGTGCTGTCCGAATTTTTGGAAGTGGCCGTGCACCTCATTCTTTATGTCCGGGAAGTCTACCCCACTGGGATTTTCCAAAAGAGGAAAAAATACAACATTCCTGTCCAGGTGAGAGCAAGACCTGGCTTTCGAGGCACCTGAGAGCAGGAAAGGAAGGATATAGACTATTATTGTTATTCACACATAATAATAATAATGAGATTCCCAACTCTGTTTGAACAGATGTCTTGCCACCCGGAGTTGAATCAGTACATCCAAGACACCCTTCACTGTATCAAACCTCTGCTGGAAAAGGTGAGTCTGTAAAACCTGAACCAAGGAACCACCGCAGCATTCTCTCGTTCTGATAAAAGGGTTGGAACCAGTGCCGAGTGAGTATGAGCTAGCCCACAGTCTTTTAGCCTCCGGCTCACCCATTTTTGTCTTGGCTCAGGAAGGAGGGCTCCAGAGCAAACTAATTTATGCCGTAGCCAAATTGCTCGCTCACACAACTTTAATGCTGGTAGGTCACAAAGTAGAATTTTTGCTCACAGGACTCCACAGCTTAGAGGGAGCATTGATTGAAACACTTTCCTTATGAAGAAAGGTTAAAGCGCTTGGGGCTCTTTAGCTTGGAGAAATGACGGCTGAGGGTTGACATGATCGAGGTCTATAAGATTATGCATGGGATAGAGCAGGTGGAGAAAGAAGTCCTTTTCTCCCTTTCTCACAACACAAGAACTCGTGGGCACTCCATGAAATTGCTGAGCAGTCGGGTCAGAACAGATAAAAGGAAGTACTTCTTTACCCAAAGAGTGATTGACACATGGAATTCACTGCCACAGAAGGTGGAGGCGGCTACAAGCATAAACGGCTTCACGAGGGAATTGAATAAGCATTTGGAGCAGAGATCCATCAGTGGCTCTTAGCCACAAGGTATAGGTAGGAACTCTCAGTCTGGGGCAAGTGATGCTCTGTCTTCTTGGTGCTTGTGAGGGGAGGGGGGCAACAGTGGGAGGGCTTCTAGTGTCCTGGCCAATGTTGCCTCTAAGCTGTGGAGTCTTGTGAGCAAAAATTCTACTTTTTAGCTACCGGCATTAAAGTTGTGAGTGAGCGATTTGGCTGCTTCATAAATTAGTTTGCTGTAGAGCTATCCTTCCTGAGCGAAGACAGAAATGTGTGAGCTGGAGGCTAAGAAACTGTGAGCTGGCTCACACTAACTCATCTTAGAGGGAACACTGGTCCTGGTCCCACGGGTGGACCTCCTGAGGGCACCTGGTGTTTTTGGCCACTGTGTGACAGAGTGTTGGACTGGATGGGCCATTGGCCTGATCCAACATTGGCTTCTCTTATGTTCTCTTTGCTGAGATGTTCCAGTGACGGTAGGTATAGCATCAACTGTTACAGCTACGCTCAAATCGGCAGGTGCCAACCTGTGAGTGGGCCAAAGCAACAACTGCCTGTACACATGCTTCCTCTGTTGTGGCTCTCAACGTGTGGCACGGCCGCCTGAGAGGGTCAGGAAATAGCTCCCAATCTCCTGGCTTTCCTCAGACGATGCAAAACTGAACTTCCCAAGAGGGCTTTTCTGCACAAGTAATCGGGCTGCAGTGCACAAAATGGCCTTACAAACTTGCCTGGATGAATGATTAAGGGCCGTGGTCTGTATCTATTTTATTTTTATTTATTTATTCAAATTTATATTCTGCCCTCCCCGCAAACCGGCTGAGGGCGGATCACAACGAATAATTTAGGCTATTTGGCATCACAAAAAGAGAATAATAAATAGTTAATTGAAACATTAAAAATGAGGAATTTAAAAACAATTGTTGCATGGATTCAAAGTTTGTTTAACATGATTTTTTTAAAAAAAAAAATTTGTCAAACAGAATGGGGTAGAAAAAACCTGCGCTTTAATTTCAGAATGACGTGGAAAAAGTCGTGGTGGTCATCCTGGACAAAGAGCACCATCCGGTGGAGAGGTTTGTGTTCGAAATCGTGCAGCCGCCCCTGCTGTCGATCAGGTGAGGAGAAGGCGGGCTGCGCATCTTTGACTTGCCGCGGAGTCTATGGGGTGACTTCGCAGAACCACACTCGATTGGAGCGGTTTGCTCTGACTCGTGGAAGCTCTGCCCAGTGATTGGCTAAAGGCGGATGAAGTCAGGGAGTCCTGCCAGAATGGCACCAGGCTAAGGTTCCCACGTTCCTCTTCATTTCGCAAGAGAACAGGAAGGGCTCACTTGTCCCGTCAAGGGTATTTTAGCCGCCGTAACTGAGTGTGTGAACGTCTTTCTGCCCCTGATTGAAATCTGCCTCCTTTCTCCCCCCCCCCCAGCTCTGATTCCCTCCTGAACCACGTGGAACAGCTGCTGCGTGCTTTTATTCTGAAGATCAGCGTGTGCGATGCTGTCCTGGATCACAACCCACCAGGTCAGTCGGCAGGAGGGGAATCGCTTTTCCTAGGGAAGTGGTAAACTATCTAGTGGAAGTTGCAGTTACAATGACCAGTTTGCTGCCTGTTGCAGAGCTCAAGGAGTAAGGCCTGGCTCTTGCCCACCAAAGGGCCACCCACAAGCTTACCTGGATTTGGGCCACTGTGTGACACAGTGTGGGACTGGATGGGCTATTGGCTTGATCCAACATGGCTTCTCTTATGTTCCTCTAGATGGAAGACTCTGTCTGGGTCAGTGATGCTCTCCACTCTTGGTGCTTGGGGGGGCAATCTGGTCCCACTCTCTTATGTTCCTCTAGATGCTGGGTTTTGGCCACTGTGTGACACAGTGTGGGACTGGATGGGCTATTGGCTTGATCCAACATGGCTTCTCTTATGTTCCTCTAGATGGAAGACTCTATCTGGGGCAGTGATGCTCTCCACTCTTGGTGCTTGGGGGGGCAATCTGGTCCCACTGGTGGACCTCCTGATGGTGCATGGGTTTTGGCAGAGTGCTGGACTGGATGGGTTATTAGTCTGATTCAACATGGCTTCTCTTATGTTCCTCTAGATGGAAGACTCTATCTGGGGCAGTGATGCTTTCCTCTCTTGGTGCTGGGGGGGGGCAACAGTGAGAAGGCTTCTGGTCCCACTGGTGGACCTCCTGATGGCACCTGGGTTTTGGCCACTGTGTGACACAGTGTTAGTCTGGATGGGCCATTGGCCTGATCCAACAATGGCATCTCTTATGTTCTTATGTCTGGGGCAAAGGATGCTCTGTCTTCTTGGTGCTTGGGGGGGGGGCAACAGTGGGAGGGCTTCTGGAGTTCTGGCCCCACTGCTGGTGGACCTCCTGATGGCACCTGTGTTTTGGCCACTGTGTGACACAGTGTTGGTCTGGATGGGCCATTGGCCTGATCCAGCATGACTTCTCTCATGTTCTTATGTCTGGGGCAGAGACACTCTGTATTCTTGGTGCTTGCGGGGCAACAGTGTGTGTGTGTGTGGGCTTCTGGAGTTCTGGCCTGACCAGTGGACCTCCTGATGGCACCTGGGTTTTGGCCTCTGTGTGACACAGACTGTTGGACTGGATTGGCCTGATCCAACATGGCTTCTCGCATGTTCTTATGTTAAGCTTTGGCTTTCTGAAACAATCTGCTAACACCCCCCCCCTTCCTTTGTAGGCTGCACTTTCACAGTCTTAGTCCACACCAGAGAAGCTGCCACCCGGAACATGGAAAAGATCCAGGTGATCAAGGTAGGACAAGAAAAACACAGGATCCCACAAAGGATCATACAGTTGACCTCTCCAGAAGGGGAATCAGCTCCTGGCTATCGTGAACAGCCAAGATAACTGATCAGTTCTTTATCTTATTTTAAACCTATTTCTTCTTCGCCTGTAAATGGTGAACAGGATGACTTGGGGAGAGGGTGTCTTCCTTTTCTCTTAGCCTCATCTTTTGAAGATCTTTTTTGTGTGGTTGAAAAGCATTAGTAGGTTCCCTCCCCTTCAAAGCCCATCATGCAATTGCACTACAAAGTGGGTGTGGCTTAGCAGGAGGCTGAACCAAAAGTTAATTGAGGTTGTTCCTGCTACTTCTCAGTCTGCACCAATCTGGACAGTAAATCGTTGCTGCAAGTGAGCCATGCCAGATCTCTAAATCCCCACACTTGGTGCATCTCATTAGGCAAACTGACCTGCCAGGTGTGTGTGTGTGTAGCGGTGGTCATGGTCCTTCTTGCCCCTCCTGTGATCATGTTCTTATGATCATGGGAAGAAAAAGCCTGAGGTTGTGCAGCATCCCCAACACTATGTTCAAGAAGGGGAGTGACCAGAGAATAAATGAACAGGAGAGAGGTGAGTTCAGTAATTTTCAGGTCAATAAAAAAGGGACCTATAGTAGGAAAGGATTTCTGTAATCTGAGATGTCTTTACACTAATGCACAGAGTATGGGCAATAAACAGGAGGAACTTGAACTTCAAATATTGGAAAGTAAGTATGATCCGATAGGTATCACTGAGACTTGGTGGGATGAGTCTCATATACGGAGCACAGCGATCGAAGGATATACCTTGTTCAAACGGAATAAACAAAAAAGGAAGTGGGGTGGCACTACATGTCAAGAATGAATACACTTGCAGTGAAATTCAGGATTTTGAGAGTTGTCCTGTTAAAAGTGTGTGGGTAAGGATAGAGCGAGGAAAAAAAGAAGGGAATATTGTTGTGCGGGTATACTACAGACCTCCAAACCAACCAGAGGAACTGGATGATGCATTTGTACAACAGCTTGCTAAACTTTCACAGAGACAGGATGTTGTGATTATGGGAGATTTCAACTATCCAGATATTTGCTGGAAATCTGCTAGAGATGGGGCATCCCGCAGATTCTTGAATAGTCTTGCGGACAACCTCATCTCTCAGAAGGTGGAGGTGGGAACCAGAGGATCTGCTATCCTAAATTTAATGCTGACTAACAGGGAAGAACTGGTTGATGAAGTGAATGTTGTGGGCTAAATATCAGGAGAAACTTCCTAACTGTGAGAGTGGTTGAGGAGTGGAACGGTCTGCCTTGGGAGGTGGTGGAGGCTCTTTCACTGGACATTTTCAAGTGGAGGCTGGATGGCCATCTTTCGGGTATGTTGCAGGGCTCTCTTTCGGCTCTGCTCCTGCAGAGTGCAGGGGGTTGGACTAGATGACCTTTAAGGTCCCTTCCAGCTCTAACATTCTATCTTCTCTGTAGGACGCTCTTTCATTCTGTAAAAGCCTCCTCCTTTCTGGATTTCAATGCTGGCATAACAGAGTTGCAGAGGGAACAGGCTTCTCAGTCTCATCACTCCCACAGACTCACTTAGTGGCCTTGCAAGAGCGTGGCCAAGTGTGGCGCAGTAGGCAGAGTGGGGGGAGACCCAGGTTCAAATTCCTGTTCAGCCACAAGGCTCACTGGGCGAAGTTTCTCTCAGCCTAAACTCACTGGGGGAGGTCTCTCTCGGCCTAAATCTCTCTCGCAGGACTGTTGTGAGGATAAAATGGGGGGGGGGAGAGAACCATGCAGGCTTTCCCTGAACTCCTGGGAAGGCGGCCAGGATAAAAATAGCCAGGCCTTCTCTCCCCCCCACCCATCCCCCTGGCCTTCTTTGCAGGCCTGTTGAAAAGGTTTCAGCAAGACAACATCGAAAGTACTTTAAATCTTGAAAGTGGCATGCCAGTGACAGGTATTAGGGTCTGTTTCAAACAGAAACAAACAAAAAACTCCTAGAAGATTGGGATCCCCCCCCCCCGATTGTGAAGTTCCCGACGCCAACTCAGTTTGCAGGGCTTGAAAAGGTTTTCTCGAACCACAGACAGGTTTCTCTTTGTTTACAGTGACGAAAGGGGTCATCACAGCTGTAAATATCAAAAGGCAAAAAGTCCATATCTAGTGTATGCAGTTTGTATACTCTATTCATGCAGACTGTCCCCTACCAGGGACGCAGTTGTTACATGCAGAGATATCAAGAGGGGACCCAGCCCGCTTGTCTCCTTACCCACAGGATTTCCCCTGGATCTTAGCAGATGAACAAGACGTCCACATGCAAGACCCACGGCTGATCCCCCTGAAGACCATGACGTCGGATATTTTGAAGGTGAGCAAGAAGGTGACCTCTCTTTGGAAGAGTAGGGTGGTGGGGTGTTTCCCAAGGCGGTCAGTTCCTGCGCTGACCAGGCTCAGCTTCCTACACCTGGGAGACTAATGACAGGGTCGCCACTAAAATTTTATTTGTCATTTCCCTGGCTTTCCCTGACCAACATTGGTCCATTTCCCTGACCACCATTCAAATATAACCACGTTAAAAAAATGAATAGGTCAGTGCTCCCTCTCAGCTGTGGAGTCTTGTGAGCAAAAATTCTACTTCATGAGCTACTGGCATGAAAGTTGTGAGCGAGCGATTGGGCTGCTGCGGAAATTAGTTTGCTCCGGAGCTACTGCACAAATTAGTTTGCTGTAGAGCCATCCTTCCTGAGCTAAGACAAGAATGTGTGAGCCGGGGGCTAAAAAACTGAGCTAGCTCACACTAACTCAGCTTAGAGGGAACACTGGTTCCAGCCCTTTTATCAGAACAAGAGAATGCTGCGGCGCTCGTATTGCATTAATGCAAGGTAAGGTCCCACTCTACAAGTGCAAAAATATTCGTCAAAGAGATTTAATATCAGCTGCTTTCAACATTAACTGCAGCAACATCTCTTTTGCAATTGCACCAAAAATTACACCAAGATACAAACTTCAAGTAAACTCTGAATACTAACACATGACATAACATTTTTGTGATTGTTTTAAAGGTACACTAAAAATTATATGACCGTTCTATCTAAATTGGCTGGGAAAGGGCATCATTGAGTTCTACTTGTATTCTGCGACTTCTCTATTCCAGTTGCCACAAGAACAGATCAGGCTTTTGCAGCGGCAGGTCAAAAATCCACTGCTTGAATATATTTTAATCACAATTTCCCTGACTTTCCAGAAAGTGGCAACCCTGTATGAACACCTGGAGGCAGGACCTAGTCAGGTGATCTTGGTGCCACTGCTGGAAGATGCCAGAGTGGGGTAGCCCAGCAGGCCTGGCAGCTGACATAGCTGGCAGTTGCATGGGATTGGTGGCCCATGATCACCTGATTCCTAAGAGCAGGGGAATTCTGGGTGGTGAAGGATCCTGGCTTGACTTTTTATTATTAGCTCACGGACATTTGGCTGATTAAGGCAGAGGTGTAGAAAGGACGCAGAGGTGTGTGATTATATTTACATCTCTTATTTACAAAGCATGGCTCGGTGCCGGACTTAAACTGGTTGAGCCAACTTCTTGTGTTTCGGTATTGACTACCTGTAACTTTACTCTGTTGCTTGCTAAGGGGTGGGAAAGAGGATTTTTGCAGACCACGGCCGGTCCAGTGTTCCCTCTAAGCTGAGTTGGTGTGAGCTAGCTCACAGTTCTTTAGCCCCCGGCTCACACGTCTGTCCCGGCTCGGGAAGGAGGGCTTCAGAGCAAACTAATTTATGCAGCAGCCCCATCGCTCGCTCACAGCTTCAATGCCAGGAGCTCACAAAGTAGAATTTTTTGCTCACAAGACTCCAGCACTTAGAGGGAGCGTTCTCTCTCCCCCCCCTTTCAGTATTTGGACACCTGATCAGCCCCTCCCTCTGGTTTTGGAATCTCCACCAAAGCAGCCCCCTTTTCAACCTCATCTCTGCATTTATCCGAGCAGGGAACCTGTCTGCAGCTAATGATACATTGCCAAATACCACTTGTCTATCGCAGGATCGGATAACCTGCTCTGGGAGTGGGGGCTGTGCAAAAAGTCACCCCCCAGTTAAAGAAGTTCAAGGGCTGGCAAGGATTTTCCTCTGAAAACACCTTTATAAAATCACTTAAAGGTAAACGTTCCCTTGCTCGAAAGCTAGTCGAATCCGACTCTAGGGTTGCGGCGCTTATCTCTGTTTCCAAGCCGAAGAGCCAGCGCTGTCCGAAGACGTTTCCGTGGTCATGTGGCCGGCATGACTAAACCCCAAGGCGCACGGAACGCTGTTCCCTTCCCATCGAAGTGGTACCTATTTATCTACTTGCAGTTTCTTGCTTTCGAACTGCTAGGTTGGCAGGAGCTGGAACTAGAGACGGGAGCTCACTCCGTCATGCGGCACACTCGGGTCTCGAACTGCTGAACTACCGACCTTCCACAGCCTGCAGTTCAGCGTCTTAACCACTTGAGCCACCGCAGCTCCTATAAAACCACTTACACATATTCTATTGGGGAGGACTCTTATTTCACCAGTAGAACACCTGCATAGAGGAGGTTTCAGTCTCCCCCTAAAAGCATCGCAGGTGGTGGGGCCAGACCCTTTTTACGAGCAGTGAACTGCTCCTGTCATCTTTGCCATTCACTGAAAGAAAAACTCTCCTCCAAGTTAAAAAAAGAGCGGCTAGAGAAGTTAAAAAAGGCATCCCATGTGATTAAACAGACAGGTTGTTTAAAAAGAAAGCCTAGAAATAACATTGATGGTTGGGGACCAAGGGCAAATCAGATGGACAACTAATTTTGGTTTATCTGAAATCCTGGAAGGCAGAAATTAAATTATTTATATTCTGCTCACAGGATAGTGAGATAACAATACTGTACTGTAGCAAGCTTGTCTCATTGAATTTTTTTTGGACGTCTGCTGTGTATAAATATTTTTATCAGTTATATATATATATAAAAGAGGAAAGATCTTTTTTCTCCCCGAGCCTCCAGAGAGCTTATTTGTCTTGAACGGTACATCTGCTCTTGGGTGTTCCACAGTCTACTTATTTTGTTCCACGGTCTACTTATTTTGGCTGTTCAACACAATTTTAAAATCGTCCCTCCCTGGCTTTGGTGTAGTTGTTAAGTGCATGGACTCTAATCTGGGAGAACCGGGTTGGATTCCCCTCCCCTCCACTTGCAGCTGCTGATGACCTTGGGCAAGCCATAGCTCTGTCAGAGCTGTCCTTGGAAAAGAGCAGTTCCTGTCAGAGCCCTCTCAGCCCCACCTCCCTCACAGGGTGTCTGTTGTGGGGAGGGGAAGGGAAAGGAGTTTGTAAGCCGCTCTGAGACGCCTTCGGGTAGTGAAGGGCAGGGTATGAATCCAATCCCCTTTTCTTCTTCCTTTCCAGATGCAGCTTTATGTAGAAGAGCGAGCTCAAAAAGGCAGCTGAATCCAACGCTTCCTGCAGTTCTGAGATCTGCAAGGAGCTCACCACGCGAGCAGACTCCGGGGCAGACAGAGTACTGGTGCTAAGCCCACGCGCGTGCCGATGTTTTTCAAAAGTGCTCTTAACCTGGTCTACATTACAGACTCCTGGAAAAACAAACTGTACAGCCATCAGCGACTTTGTGCAACTGTGTTTGGGGTGTGTGTGCGTGTAACAAGTTTCCAGGCTGCTGCAAGGACTGGTTTTAAGCGTTTCTGGAGAGAGTTGCTGTGCTGCATTCTGTGTTTTTTGTGAGCCTGAAGAGGACGCATTCATATGATCTCCTTCTTGGTTCTGAAGTTCCTGTATGTCTGTTGTGGCTGTCCAGGGTGGGCCGCTTGGCCTTTGCTCGCCGCCCTTGGGCATGGTGATTGTTCTGGCTAATCAATAAACAGAATCTTTTCTATCATAAACCAGTTTCAGCCGACTCCTCTAACCCAGCTCGCCCAGGGTCTGTTGCGGGTGACAAATAGGTCAACAACTCTATTGTACACATTTCCTGGGAAGTAACAGGACCAGTGTTCCCCCTAAGCTGGGTTAGTGTGAGCTAGCTCACAGTTTTTTAGCCTCCGGCTCGCACATTTTTGTCTCAGCTCAGGAAGGATGGCTCCAGAGCAAACTAATGGCAGGAGCTCACAAAGCAGGATTTTTGCTCACAAGACTCCATAGCTTAGAGGGAGCGATGAACGGGACGTACTTTGATCTAGGTCTCTTTTGCAAGCTGCAAGTCCCGCCCTCCAGCTGAAGGACCTCAAAGAGTAGGTGGGCGGGAGAGACGAATTCTTTAATCATGAATTTATTTAGACCCTGGTACAAAACGCTGCATGAAGGGGGCGCCACCTCCACATTTTTATTTATATATTTTTATTTTATCCTTACATTTATCCCCGAAGGCTCAGGGCGGCTCATCCCAAAGAGAGGACAGGAGGCAATTTTTTTTTTTAGGATGCCGAACTTTGCTCCTTGTCCAAAGAATAAAAACGAGGAAGACAGTGGTCACCAAGTGCGAAAAGACACACCAATGACTACCGTGGAGTGGGGTGGGGAAGGAAGAGGATGCACTGACCCCTAGGCCCAACACAGGGAAGAACTCACAGTAATCGCAACCAGCTCTCTCGGCAACAGGGTTATTTTCTCCCTCTGTCTCTCCCTGACCCCGCCGTGGCAGAGTTCTCGTGCCTTTACCGGCAGACTGATTTTTTTTGCAGCCATGACCGGAAAAAGCTTTCCCCAGTGGTTTTGTCTGCCAGCCGCCTTTGAAAGGAGAGCCAGCCGGGCTAAAACTCTCTCCCTCTCTCCGATGTTTCCACCCTTTTGCTCCCAGAAACGAGCTCAGTGCCCTCCCCTTCCCTCCCTCCTTGGCTCTGTTCCACAAGCCCAAAAGTTAAGCACTGGTTGGGTTTCAGAGCCAGTGGGTGCGCCGATCAAGACTGGAGGAGGCCAACTGCCAACTCCAGAGAAAGCGGAGGCTGTCGGAAAGGCAACCAGGGTGCGAACTGAAAAGGGGTGGGGGGAGAAGGCTTCGCCCACCCATTGCACGAGAGATCAGAAGGCGCTGCCCGAGGGGGCTCGATCCAAGCCACCCCCAACCCCCTTGGCAGGGTGCTGTCTTTTTCCCTCCTCACGAGGCCACCTCTGGGCCAATGGTGATACTGCTGTTGGTGACGCGGACGCCATACCAGCCTGACCAGAACTGAGTATCTTGGCCTCCGTGTTGAAAATAGATGTAGCGGACCCCAGAAGGGTAGTTGTGAAAAGTGTGCGTCATCTGAAAGAGAGAGAAGGGGAGAAAGGTTGGTTTTCACCAGCTTTGTTCTCTGCCAGGCTTCCCTCTAAGCTGGGTTAGTGTCAGCTAGCTCAGTTTTTTAGCCTCCGGCTCACATATTTTTTTGTCTCCACGGCTTATAGGGAGCATTGTGTTCCCTTTAAGCTGAGTTAGTGTGAGCCAGCTCACAGTTTTTTAGCCTCCGGCTCACACATTTTTTGTCTTCGCTCAGGAAGGATGGCTCCAGTGCTCATCTCCGTTTCCAAGCTGAAGAGCCTGCGCTGTCCGAAGACTTCTCCGTGGTCATGTGGCCGACATGATTAAATGCCGAGGCGCATGGAACGCTGTTACCTTCCCACCGAAGTGGCACCTATTTATCTACTTGCAATTTCTTGCTTTCGAACTGCTAGGCTGGCAGGAGCTGGGGCCAGAGACGGGAGCTCATGCCGTCATGCGGCACTCGGGTCTCGAACTGCTGAACTACCGACCTTCCGGTACCACCACGGCCATGTTTTAAAAAGCCATTTAAAAAAATAATAATCCTGGGGACTCAAAGTGACTTATGGAGTAAGATGCAGAATTTACAGGTATTTAACCGGGAGCATAAAAGCCCAACAGCCCTGCGGTGTGACCTTAAGGAGACCCTTCAGTGTCGAAACCCAGGAGCAGGAAGCGTGGTAGGGGGAGGACATTCGAATTGGTCCCACCTCGGAAGGGACCGATTGGCCCAGCACGGTTTCCTCACCTCGCGCCATTCCGCATCGCTCCACTGCTCTATCACCACACATTCAGGATCAAACTCTTCCAGGACGATGAAGTCTGCAGAGAGCAGGCGGACGTTCAGCTTGTATTGGCAGCCGCAATCAAACCTGGCAGCGTACCTGGGTATGGGGTGAGGGGGGAGAGAAAAGCATCAAGCACGGAGCCGGTACCCATGCACAACCTAAGCAAGGCCAAACAGGGAAGGTGCCTCCCTCTCCCTCTCTCGGGGCCCAGCATCAGATTCCGGGACACAGCAAGAGCAGCTCCGCCCTGCTCTCCTCCCGGCTGCCGCTGCTGAGGCTGGCCAGACACCCTGAACTTGCCAAGCTGCTCTTACCAGGGCCAGAGGGAGAAGAGATTGCAGGCGGGCATCCTCCCGTCTCTGGCTCACCGGCTGGCCTTGAGCTATATCAGGGGTGGCCGAACTCACTTGACATAAGAGCCACATAAAAGAAACGTCAGATGTTTGAGAGCCACAAAACATGAAGAAATATTACACACACGTTTTTATTAATATATGAACATAAGAACGAAAGAGAAGCCAATATGGGATCAGGCCAATGGCCCATCCAGTCCAACACCCTGAGTCACACAGTGGCCAAAAAAAGTACCAGGGGCCATCAGGAGGTCCAGCAGTGGGGCCAGGACACTAGAAGCTCTCCCACTGTTGCCCCCCCCCCCAAGCACCAAGACTACAGAGCATCCCTTGCCCCAGACCGAGAGTTCCTATCTATATCTTGTGGCTAATAGCCACTGATGGACCTCTGCTCCATGTTTATCTAATTCCCTCATGAAGCCATCCATGCTTGTAGCCGCCACCCCTTCCATTTTCTTTAGATTCAGGTGGGTCACCGTGTTGGTCTGAAGCAACAGAACAAAGTCTGAGTCCAGTCAGGCACCTTGAAGTTTAATTCTGGGTAGAAGCTGTCGTCTGCATGCACACTTCTGTCATACAGAGGATGGTGCGGAGTTGTTTTCTATTGCCCCAGAAGGTCGGACCAGAACCAACAGGTTGAAATTAAATCAGAAGAGCTTTCGGATAAACATTAGGAAGAACTTCCTGACAGTTATAGCGGTTCCTCAGTGGAACAGGCTTCCTCGGGAGGTGGTGGGCTCTCCTCCTTTGGAGGTTTTCAAAACAGAGGCTAGGTGGCCATCTGACAGCAATGCAGATTCTGTGAACTTAGTTCGGTCATTAGAAGGGAGGGCAGGAAGGGCTGCCTCAGGGCTTAGTTCTCGTGGCCCTTTCTTACACACCCAGGGGGATGCTGGTCGCCACTCTGGGGTCAGGAAGCAATCTTTCTCCAGGCCAGTTTGGCCAGGGATCCTGGAGCTTTTTTGTCACCTTTTGGGCATGGAGCAGCAGCCACTGGAGGTGGGGAGGGGGAGGTATTTCTGAATTAATTGTTGTAGATTTTCCAGGCTGTATGGCCATGGTCTTAGCCAAGACTACGGCCATACAGCCCGGAAAATTTAAAACATGTAATGAACTCCAGTCGTGAAAGTCTTCGACAGCGTATTTGTGAATTTCCTGCATTGTGCAGGGGGTTGGATTAGATGACCCTGGAGGTCCCACCCAGCTCTATGATTCTGATTGTTCAGATGCACATGAAAGCTTATACTCACTCATAATCTTTGTGGGTCTTAAAGGGGCCACTAGAGGCTCAAGCTTGGTCCATGTTATTTATTAAGACATTTCTACCGCCCCCCCTTTCTTCCGTCTGAAGGCCACTTGCAATAAGAGATAACACATCCCCAGCTAAAACTAAAGACCCTCCCCCCCTTAAAAGACGACGGCCCCCCCCCCTTTAAAAGATGCCGGCCGTTCCGATCCCTTCAAAAAGCCCTGGTAGGCAGGCAAGCCTTGCACATGCCTCAGGGAGCTCTCCAAGGAGGGGGGCCTCCTCACCTCTTCAGGGAGCCCCTTCCACAGAACCGGGGCCACAATGGAGAAGTCCGCGCCTCAGGCTGGTGCCAGACGGACTGCCCTAAGCGGTGGGACAGCCGACAGATGGCTGCTGGCCTTTACTTTAGATGCCCCCCGTGCCCCCCTCCACTCACCAGTCCTTCACCACGATATCCGGCTTGGACTCGTCCATCAGCTCTGCCCAGTAGCCTTCCTTCTTTAAGTCGATGATCTGGTGCTTCGTGCAGAGCCTGAGGACAGATTTGGGACCGATCAGAACCCCCTCAGGATGGGGGCAGGAGGGACTCTGCGGAGAGGGAGACCCGGCTTGTGCCCCGGAGAGGAGAGGCCTTGTGTTCACAACGTAGCATCCCAATTTCTTCTCCCCTCTCCATAACCGTTCATGCCTTGTGTTCACAACGTAGCATCCCAATCAATGTTCCCTCTAAGCTGCAGAGCCTTGTGAGCAAAAAGGCTACTTTGTGAGCTACTGGCATTAAAGTTGTGAGCGGGCGATTTGACTAATGCATAAATTAGTTTGCTCTGGAGCCATCCTTCCTGAGCAAACACAAAGATGTGTGAGCCAGAGGCTAAAAAACTCTGAGCTATCTCACACTAACTCAGCTTAGAGGGAAAACTGATCCCAATCTCTTCTCCTCTCTCCATAACCGTTCAGCAGTTTTTTTTTAACTCCGCCAGCTGCCGGTAGTTGGAAAGGAGCCCTCGCGTAGCACTCGCCCTATTTGCTTCCCTGGAGAAACACTGAGCAGTAGGATCCATATGGATTGAGGACGGTAGAACCTCCACGTTCAGGGGCAGTGTACCTCTGACCGCCAGTTGACTGGAGGAGGGCCACAGCACAGGAGGGCTTCATACTCTAATTACGGACCACTGGGAGACTGCGGGGAGGGCCTGTGGCTCAGTTCAGAGTGATGTTCCCTCTAAGCTGTGGAGTCTTGTGAGCAGAAATTCTACTTTGTGAGCTACCGGCATTAAAGCTGTGAGCGAGCGATTTGGCTGCTGCATAAATTAGCTTGCTCTGGAGCCATCCCTTCCTGAGCTAAGGCAAAAATGTGTGAGCTGGAAGCTAAAAAACTATGAGCTAGCCCACACTCACTCAGCTTAGAGGGAACACTGGTGGTTAGGAAAATGCGTTTCAAATAAACTGTTCACCCTATGGAGTAAATCTGGATCAGACTGCTGGTTACCATTGCGTTACAAACGAAATGCCCAAGAAACCCGCAACCAAGGAACTCACCCGTAAGATGTGACGAAGTATTTCCGAACGTGTGGATGGGGAAGTTCTCTCCCGTGAGCTCCAGGCAGATCTTCAACTTTCCACCGATCTCCTCCGTTGGAGTCAAGCTTCCAGTGGTCAAAACCGGCTGCGGGAAAGAAAGTTGAGAAGGGAGAGGATTGGACGGGGTGCTGGCAGCAGATATCTGACAGAGAAAACTTTGATGCTCGAAAGCCCAAACACCGAAAATCTTGTTGGTCTCTAAAGTGCCGCTGGACTCGAATTCAGCTCTTTTACTGCAAACCAAAACAGCTACCCACTGAAACTACCAGCGTGACCGAAATCAACCAGAAGTTCTACTTTTAATCCTATTTATTTTAAAAATGTCAGCACATTCACAGGCGTGTCGCATGAATCGCCACTGAAGAGTGCAATCAGAACCTAAAATATAAGAACATAAGAGACGCCAATGTTGGATCAGGCCAAAGGCCCATCCAGTCCAACACTCTGGGTCACACAGTGGCCAGAAATACCAGTGCCATCAGGAGGTCCACTAGTGGGGCCAGGACATTAGAAGCCCTCCCACTGTTGACCCCCCCAAGCACCAAGAAGACAGAGCATCACTTGCCCCAGAGTCCCTATCTATACCTTGTGGCTAATAGCCACGGATGGACCTCTGCTCCATATGCTTATCTAACTCCCTTTTGAAGCTGTCCATGCTTGTAGCCGCCGCCACCTCCTGTGGCAGTGAATTCCATGTGTTAATCCCTCTTTGGGTGAAGAAGTACTTCCTTTTATCTGTTCCAACCCGACTGCTCAGCAATTTCATGGAGTGCCCACGAGTTCTTGTATTGTGAGAAAGGGAGAAAACTACCTCTTTCTCTACCTGCTCTTTCCCATACATAATCTTATAAACCTCAATCATGTCACCCCTCAGTCGTCCTTTCTCCAAGCTAAAGAGCCCCAAGCGCTTTAGACTTTCCTCATAGGGAAAGTGTTCCAACCCTTTTATCATTCAAGCTGCCCTTTTCTGCACTTTTTCCAAAGCTATAATATCCTTTTTAAGGTGTGGTGACCAGAACTGCACACAATATTCCAAATGAGATCGCACCATTGATTTATATAGGGGCATTATGATATTGGCTGATCTGTTTTCAATTCCCTTCCTAATAATCCCAAGCATAGCATTGGCCTTTTTTTATTATTATATATAATTCACCTCCAAAGACGTAATCCAGAGATGGACCACAAATACTTTTAAACTGTTCTTTTTTTCTTTGCTGTTTTTAGACTCTATATCTACAGTGGTTAATGGTCATTCAGTCTCCCTGAGGAATTCTGGGAGCTGTAGTTCTAGGGGGTTCCCAATTGAGGTTTCTCAGCATCTAACTACAATTCCCAGGATCCTTTAGGAGAACCTGAGTCAATTAGCTGGCTCTAAAAGTAAGCTCAAATTCTATACATTAAAGAACAAAAACAAACAAACAAAAACATAGCAGGGAAAACCCCAGAGACCTAAGAATTCTATTTTCAAATACATAATATATTCACAGGGAAACAGCAGAAGAAAAATGACATATAACAATACAGTCAATCCCTGCATGAAAATAGAATTCAAACTTTGCAAAGCATTCTATTTCAGAAAGGAACAGAGCAGGTTCTTAAAAACTGTTACAATTCTGGTTTCTCTTGGCTGTATTTATAATAGCCTTTCTACACTACAGACTTAGGAATCTCTCTCACAGAGAAGCTGGGAAGAGTAGTTCTTTAGCCATTCCCAGCATTCCCCCCACCAAACTACAGTTCCCATGATGCTTTGAGAAGACAGCCAGTGCAGTTAATCTGGTAGAATACACACAAACCATGTTGTCCTCTGCCTTTCAATTATGTTCACTTCACTCCAAATTTGTTTCCCTCTCAGCTTTGGGCAACTCCTTTATTTGCAAAACATCTGGTTTTCCTCACATTTCAGAACACAGGCATGTTAGTAAGAGCTTCAGCAAAGAGCTGATGGATTGATTCAAAACATTTTGATGGGATTAAACATTTGTTCCTCATAAACAGTAGATTTTTTCATATATTATTTTCTAGTATAGCTGCTTACAAACTCAGGGGTGCCATGCAGTCTTTAAGAACAAAAAACTGGACATTTGGTCAAATTAAAAGAGATATTAACCAGCCTTAATTTGGGTGAATATCCCCTCACATCTAAAATACTCTTTGCTTGGAGAAAACTGACAGTCCAGGAAAGAGTATTCTAGCCTCTCCTCTTTTCTTGAAATGCTAACTTTCCACAGGCAAGGAGCAGTTGAGTCACGCTTCCAAATTTGAGATTCCCCAACCTGCGTTCTGAAGGGGTATGGTCCTGAGGGAGCAATTCTGTGCAGTTTCGGACTGGCCACTCAGCTTTGAAAAAGAGCTGGATCGTTGGGATGCCAGCCTCCAGGAGGGACCTGGGGATCCCCCGGAATTACAGCTCATCCCCTGACTACAGAGATCAGTTCCCCTAGAGGAAGCAGCGGCTTTGGTGGGTAGACTCGTGGGCACTCAATGAAATTGCTGAGCAGTCAGATTAGAACAGATAAAAGGAAGTCCTTCTTTACCCAAAGAGAGATTCACACATGGAATTCACTGCTACAAGAGGTGGCGGCGGCTACAAGCACAGACAGCTTCAAGATGGAATTGGATAAGCATATGGAGCAGAGGTCCATCAGTGGCCATTAGACACAAGGTGTAGATAGGAACTCTCAGGCTGGGGCCAGGGATGCTCTGTATTCTTGGTGCTTGGGGGGTGGGGGGGTCAACAGTGGGTGGGCTTCTGGTGTCCTGGCCCCACTGCTGGACCTCCTGATGGCCCCTGGTATTTTTGGCCACTGTGTGATACAGAGTGTTGAACTGGATGGGCCATGGGCCTGATCCAACATTTGGCTTCTCTGTTACATTCTGATGTTCTTATGACTCTACCGCATCGTACCCCACTGAGGTCCCTGTCGTCCTCAGCCCCCATCCCCAAATGCCCAGGAGTTTCCCAACCTATATCTGGCAACCCAATCCTGCCATCCCTGCCGGTGACGCAAGGGGACCCGCCATCCCTAGCTGGATGAATCAGCTTTCAGTCTGGGAGGAGGAGCATCCCTTCTTCTTCGTCTTCTTTTAAGGACTGACCTTCAGCAATGTGGTTTTTGAGTAAGTTCCTCTTCAGCAGGCAGAGGAAGTAGAAAACCCTCCAGTCCGGGACGCTCCTGTCCTGGCCCCGTGGGAGGTAGCCCTCCAGCTGGCACTTCCGCTTCCACAGCGTGCCCACATCCACCAGGTCTCGCCACTGCGAGCAAACGAGCCGGCAGTTGCGGATCAGGTCCCGGCCGGGCACCAGAGAGAGCAGGTCCAGGAGGATGTCTTCCGGCAGGTCCCTGATGTGGACCATCCTTCCTTCCTTCCTTCCTTCCCACAGGCCTGAGCTGCCTGCAAGGAAAGAGTTTAAAGCAGGGGTGTCAAACTCATTTGTTACGAGGGCCAGATCTGACATGAATGAGACCTTGTTGGGCTGGGCCATGTGTGTCATAGAAGGTAATGCCAGGTCGCGGAGATATAAACCTAATAATAATAACAACAACAACAACAACAACAACAACAACAATAATAATAATAATAATAATAATATTTATTGCATTAGCAAGAAAGCCATAGCAACTGTACAGGCTCAAACAAACAAAACAGAAAACAAGAAAACAACACACACTTAAAATTATCAAATTTGTATATAGGTCGACAGTTATCAGCAGTAAACTAATTAAACTCAGGGAGATTTGTTTTCTTAATCACCGCAGCTAGAAAGGAAGCCACTATAGCCGTGGTTTGATTGTCAGGGAAGTTATCAGACAATAGCACTG